AGAGAGAGAGAGAGAGAGACTACGTGAGCTAATTTAGATAAGAACCTAATGATGATGGATTATCAAGATATGATTCAAACCTTTTAATTTGACAAATTACATCTTTTAAACTCAGATTAGAAAATAAAATGGAGAAGAAAGAAAAACATAATAAAAGAAAAAAGAGAATACAGGAAAACCACAAAACCTAAAAATTCAATATTATTATTTAAGGAATTGAATTTTTGCAACAAAATTTTCTAATTGTTTTATGCTTGCAACTCAATATCGAAGACCCTTGATATTTTAAACTATGAATTCTGTTAGATTAAACAGTTTAAGCTTGAAATATCAAATTTTTACACCATTAGGTTACAGAAACATAGCGATTAGAAAATTTTAATTTGTGACAAAAACTCAATTCCTTTAGGGACAAACTTAAATTCAATCTATATGAAACAGCAAAAAAAATGTCGGGGAAGATTTTAGATTTGATTTCATTAAATAAATCTTAAACTTTATAATTTCTATAAAGTGAAAAAAAAAACTTCCTGGTTATGAAAAATCTAAACAATACTTAAATTCTATAAAGAGCAGGAAAATGTTTTTTTGGCTTTTACTATATTCAGCTTATATATATACCCAAAAGGGCATGGAGTAGAGAAGGAAATAACTAAATGTATCTTTATTTTACGCAATCATATCTTTGCTATACACACTATGAAATTAGTTTTCTTCGATTATTTAATAAAGGAAATAAATTCAATGATATCTAGAATAATTTTAAGAAAACATGAAAACAGAAAGCAGATATAGAAGGAAGAGGAAGAAAAACATGAAAACAGAAAGCAGATATAGAAGGAAGAGAAAGAAAACATAATAACAGAAAGCAAAGATAGAAGAAAGAGAAAGAAAAACATAATAACAGAAAGCAGATATAGAAGGAAGAGAAAGAAAACATAATAACAGAAAGCAGGGATAGAAGGAGAGAAAGAAAAATGTAAAAACAGAAAGCGGAGATAGAAGGGAGAGAAAGTAAACATGAAAACAGAAAGCAAAGATAGAAGAAAGAGAAAGAAAAACATAATAACAGAAAGCAGATAGAGAAGGGAGAGAAAGAAAACATGCAAACAGAAAGAAGAGATAGAAAGAAGAGAAAGAAAAACGAACACAGAAAGCAGAGATAGGAGGAAGAAAAAGAAAACATGAAAACAGAAAGCAGGGATAGAAGGAGAGAAAGAAAAATATAAAAACAGAAAGCAGAGATAGAAGGGAGAGAAAGGAAACATGAAAACAGAAAGCAGATAGTGAAGGAAGAGAAAGGAAAGCATGAAAACAGAAAGCAGGAATAGAAGGGAGAGAAAGAAAACATGAAAACAGAAAGCAGAGATAGAAGGAAGAGAAAGGAAACATGAAAACAGAAAGCAGATAGTGAAGGAAAAAAAGGAAAGCATGAAAACATAAAGCAGGAATAGAAGGGAGAGAAAATAAACATGAAAACAGAAAGCAGAGATAGAAGGAAGAGAAAGGAAACATGAAAACAGAAAGCAGGGATAGAAGGAAGAGAAAGCGGGAAAAGAACGAAGAGAAAGAAAAAATGGAAATATAGTAAGGTTTGTCCGGACTGCATCGTTAATATTCAAAAACATAAAAAAGTACTTACTTTACTATATATCTATATGCTTTAATATTGAGAACGTATAGGCCATCAAACATACAAAAATACATTCCATTGAATTTAACCCTTAATTTGATACAGCTTCTCATATCTTTAATCAGAAGAAGAATGGGGGGGGGGGTTTTGTGACAAATTTAGCCCCCCCCCCCCCACACACTTATCCTCAGTCAATTCCATCAATTATACTAAAGCCGACAAACGTTCAGTGTCACAGTGATCAGAGTATAGTTGGAAAAAGGCCTGATATCTCGAGATACCTGGAGATAATACCAATCCAGGGATCATTAACATCCAATAGGGGAGAGGAAAAAGGGGCGGGGGTATAATGAATATTATAAATAAAGTGTATTTTCAAATTTAAAATATTTTTCTGTTCGTCCCTGTAAATCGGTTGAATGGTCGGATGGATACCGAGACTAAAGAAAATCATTTAGATTTGAATAGTTTCTGATGATTTCAACTTTTTATTGGATAATCAAACCATACAGGGAGACAAATATCAATTTGTCTCATCCTTGTCATAATTTATCCTACTCAGACAAACTAAATTCATAATAAAATAAAAATAAATAAAAATGCGTAAATCTGATTTTTTATGAAACAGATATCTTTTATACTTAACGTACATATTTGTTTTAAACAAGTAAGAATGGCCGCGATTTGCAAATATGTATTCATCTTAGACAACCATATTAAAAATTCATTTGAATTTCACGGTATGGTGATTATACTGCCGAGATATAGAATTGACTAGAACATAAACATTCAACAACGTTGGTTGGTATCGAGGATATATATATTTCTTTGGTTTTCAAAACTGTTATCATGATCATATCCGTACACTATAGAATCCTGATACTAGAGTAAACCAGGAGTAATCATATCCTGATCCCAGAGTAAACCAGGAGTAATCATATCCTGATCCTAGAGTAAACTAGTAGTAATCGTATCCTGATCCTACAGTAAACCAGGAGTAATCATATCCTGATCCTAGAGTAAACCAGGGGTAATCATATCCTGATTCTAGAGTATACCAGTAGTAATCATTTCCTGATCCTAGAGTAAACTAGGAGTAATCATATCCTGATCCTAGAGTAAACCAGGGGTAATCATATCCTGATTTTAGAGTATACCAGGAGTAATCATATCCTGATCCTAGAGTAAACTAGGAGTAATCATATCCTTATCCTAGAGTATACCAGGAGTAATCATATCCTGATCCTAGAGTAAACCAGGAGTAATCATATCCTGATCCTAGAGTAAACCAGGGGTAATCATATCCTTATTCTAGAGTATACCAGAAGTAATCATATCCTGATCCTAGAGTAAACTAGGAGTAATCATATCCTGATCCTAGAGTAAACCAGGGGTAATCATATCCTGATTTTAGAGTATACCAGGAGTAATCATATCCTGATCCTAGAGTAAAGGAGTAATCATATCCTGATCCTAGAGTAAACTAGGAGTAATCATATCCTGATCCTAGAGTAAACCAGGAGTAATCATATCCTGATCCTAGAGTAAACCAGGGGTAATCATATCCTTATTCTAGAGTATACCAGAAGTAATCATATCCTGATCCTAGAGTAAACTAGAAGTAATCATATCCTGATCCTAGAGTAAACTAGGAGTAATCATATCCTGATCCTGAAGTACACTTGGAGTAATCATATCCTGATCCTAAAGTACACTTGGAGTAATCATATCCTGATTCTAGAGTATACCAGGAGTAATCATATCCTGATCCTAGAGTAAACCAGGAGTAATCATATCCTGATCCTAGAGTATACCAGGAGTAATCATATCCTGATCCTAGAGTATACCAGGAGTAATCATATCCTGATCCTAGAGTAAACTAGGAGTAATCATATCCTGATCCTAGAGTAAACTAGGAGTAATCGTATCCTGATTCTAGAGTAAACTAGGAGTGATCATATCCTGATCCTAAAGTTACATCAAAATGATAATCAAATCTCTCGATCTTAACTATTTTTACTTGTCCGTTCCATCAGGTCTTTGGTGAACTGTATTGTAAATAAAGATTAAAAACAAAAACACGATACATTTGGTTTTAGATATTTTTGACATTTTCAAAAAACATTTCTATGCTTTTCAAACACAAGAAATGTTGATATTTTAAAATGCTAAGAATTCCTTTTTATCTGTTTGGTTGGTCCGGGGGGTGGGGGGGAGAGGATGGACACCCAGGTCGTTTTGTATATTCAAACTAAATATGTAATATTTGAGAAATCAACAATTTATTTTCTGAAAATATGGTGGTCCGGGACTAAAAGAGAGAAGAACTATTGGTTAAAAAATAGATGGAAAGAAGAAGAATGAGAAATTAGCCAAAGAGAAAAAGAAACGTTATTTTAAAAACGAATTAAAAAAGGAAAGTGG